CCTGACTCATGTGACCTCAGATGGTCTGGTAGCCGGCGTGGCTCCTCTTCCGGCCGATGAGGTACGCCAGCAGCACGATGAGGACGAGACCCGCGAGAGCCGCTCCGACGATGATGGGGATCAACATGTCGTCTTCATCCAACTGGCACTCCTCAGCTGGGGGGGGGAACGCCAGAGAGGACAGATTAGAGCAAAACCCGGGAAATCATCCAGTTTGAAGCTTCTTAAAGCACAAGTGATTAGTTAATTTACATATATACAAATGCAACGTTTAAAAGTAACGTATTTTTTTTAAATCGTATTGCTGAAAACTTATTATTGCAATGTCTGTTTTTTCCAATATGGTGAAGCGCTAATTTGTACATTTGAAGGACTGAAATGAGAAAGTGCAAAAAAATATTTGTTGTCACTTAAACTCATAATCATGATCTCAATATTCAGGGTTCATACACTTTTTCACCAATGATTCTCAATGACTTTTCCAGGACCTTTACCTCATTTTCCATGACCAAAAAAAAAATGACTCTTTCTCAGCGTTACCACTGAAAATGGTTTATTTGAACATGGAACAGGAAAATAAGTTCTGCATATGAAACATGTTGTGCCTATCTAAAACATACTTAGCTTCTCAAGCTAAGTATCAAGCAACTCAAATCTCTCACCAGCAAAATACCTCGTCAGTTAAATGCCATTTTACGTTTCATTACGATACAGTATGTATTATCATTATAGTATTACTATTTCGGAGGTTAGATAAAATATAAATTATATTTGATGCAACTTTGGTTACATTTCCATGACTTTGGGAAAAATATTGTTTTCCATAACTTTTCCAGGGCCTGGAATTAGCATTTTGAATTTCCATGACTTTTCCAGGTTTTTAATGACCGTAACAACCCTGAATATTGATCAAATAATTGTGATCATAATGTTTGCCTTAATCACACAGATAAAGATACAATACATGTATTGTTTCATATTGTTTGTATGACTAGATTCCAGAGATCGCTGCGTATGATTGTTTTTGCCGTTTGTGATCCAAACATTTACAAGAGCTTTGTCACAAAAGTTCACATTATACAAAAGAAAAAGATGGATGTTATCATATCAAAAATCTATCCAACAAAAAGGTCAGCTCTAATCCATATGTGTTGGTGAAGTGAATTCAATAATATTAATAAATCCTTTCATTTAAATTGCGAATTTTGTTTGTGGATGTTTAATCTTAGGTGTGATAGAGTTATAGAATATAACATGCAAAGCTACATTTGAGAGCGTCTGTAGTTGTACCTGCTCCAAACTGATCTCCTGAGACGCCGAAGGGCTGCACCTGCACCTGGAAGGTGTTGATGGACAGATCCGGGGACACGGTCAGAGTCTGCTGCTCACGACACATGTAGGAGAACCCCAGGGTGCCGCGCAGGAAGTCCAGACTGCTGTTATCAGCCGAGACGGGCTCTATGGGACCAAACAGAGCAGAGTGATTACAGAGGAAGATGTGTTCAGTAAAACTAAAAGAATACAGAGGTGACACAAAACCAGGAAAACCACTAATCTTTTTCTGGAACAAGTTTTGTCCACTTGGCCTTTTGCCTCGCTATATGTGTGTTTTTCAGGGCCATTTTGTATCATCTTGGATGTGTGTTTACAATCTGACATCTGGTCGCTGGGTTTTTAATTAAGGGATGTTGGACTCCAAGAACACTGCCACACATTAGTAGTGGGTTATCAGTGATTATTGCAAGGGATATGTTTGTATTTGTCAATAACCTCAAGGCCCTGACACGCCAAACTGACACCAAAGAACACGTCCCAAGGACCCGATTGTTGTGTCGCCTCACGTCTGCTGCGTCTTGGCCAAACAGTCGCACTGGAACACAGCGCAAAGACTTCAGCCGACGGCCAAGTAGCACGTACGCACTGCGCATGCGTGAGTGGCAATAACTGTCCTTACCAGCAGGCGGCGGTAGTGTGTATTCTCAATTCAAAAGAGGCAACCGGAAGACAGACTGCGTGATATATACAAACAACAAATAGCGTGCGTTCCATTTTCACTCTCGTCCGTCACAGACTGTTTCACATAACGACTTATAATCGAACACATGTTTAGTGCGGGACTGGAAAATGAGAAATAATAGCCGTCTGTGTGTGCCTTCTTCACTTCCGTTTCGCTTCTCATGCACTGATTCGCTAAGCTGAACAGCCAATCAGAGTGACAGCCTCCCGATTCAAACATGTTGAATCGGCGACAGGACGCTCATCGACGGCCAGACGAAATCGGCTCGGTGTGTCAGGACCTTTAAGGAAACTCAACTGATTGTGCCTTTGATGAAATGTTTCACTACCTTGCATAGAGAATTAAAAGGTGGCTGCTTTGTTCAAGACATAACAATCTTGTTTGATCAAATTTTAAAAAAATGCAGAATCGCTTCTGGGCTAAGTGAAAAATAGACAAGACAACGATGTTACAGACAGAATAAAGAACGGCGGCAGGAGACCAAAGATGAGCCGAGGAGTTACAGATCAACTCGCTTTACAGTTACCAGGCGACAGCTGAAGTTCAAACAGGAAGGAAATGTTAATGCCCTCTGTGAATGATTTATTGTCTTATTTAACAAGTTCATTTTGGACATTAGTAGAATTGGTACAATGCTAGAAATTATCCTAACTCGAAGTCTACACATTTGAATTTGTAATTGCGTCTTCATTAGTGAATTGTTTGCTCAGTCGACTCATATCCATCTACAGGGCACTCCTGTGTCTTCTTTCCATCTCATTTACATTATTTTAACACCAAATCACGGCCTGTTATTGAGTGACAAGGCAGAGTAGGTTTCTGTTTGGATTTATTTTCCAAGGTCCTAAGAGTAATCACGTAAATGAAAGAACAATCTCCAAAAACTGACCACAGGATTGGTTTGACATTATGTGATAAAAGGTGAAATACTGCAAGGTTTAAGTGCACTCACCTTTCATGTCTGGCCAGGCTGCAGACAGAGACACGTTACTCAGGTGGTACTTATTGGACGTAGTATTCTGGAGAGAAAAGCAACAGCAAAAAAAAATCAGCTACACCGCAGTGAAGTGAGTTTACCTCAGGCTCCAACTGCCATCTAGTGGCTGTTTCATGAAATACAAGAGATGTTATACAGCATGTTGTGAGGCAGGAGTGACCCACCAGGGAGAAGAAGAAGGTGAGGTTGGTCTTCTCTGAATCGGTTGAGAGTCGCAGGGAGGCGGTGTCTGCGTCACATGATCCAGAGGACTTTGTCACATTCGGCTGGAGGTTCACAATATTCCGCACAGTCTGTAAAAAAAAAACATTTAGCATTTGGAACCAGTTAATGTGGCTGAATTCAGAGAGCTGTTTGGGGGTTTATATTTAGGCACCTTATTCTGGGACACGGAGTTGAAGGTGATGTTGAGCTGGAGACCCATGGAGGCCAGTAAACAGGCCGTCCCGTTGCTGCTGTTCACCACATAGATACCCTTCTCAGGTCTCATGGGCTCCTTGTGCGGGGCAGCCGTCGTCTGAGCAGCAGCATAACCCTGGAGCAGGACGCCAGCTGCAAGAAGGCTTCAGTTCAATTTACGATTTTCAGAGGTGCAATGTGTTCAATGCTAGATACATAATTAAAACGAGACTTTATGAGAGCCCTTTAGGTATTAGATATCAAAGCCGACGCAAGTACAAATGTCTATCTTGCACGTATATTTGGTAGCTCAAATTTCAAGGATTAAACCAGCAGTAAGTGATTTGTGCATTTAACCAAAGAAAACACTTGGATTTGAACACAACACCCTTTTAAAAGCTATCGTTGATGTTATATAGTGTGACATAAAGAGGTGTAAGAAGATCTTTTACACAAGTAAAAGTAGCATTGTTAACATATAAAGTATTGTATTCAAAATTGTACTCAAGTAAAAAGTACAAAAGTATTGGCATTAAAGTATACTTCAAGTACAAGTTCTAATTTCCCAGTATGGCCCATTTCAGATCTAAAAATATTACATTTTTGTATTGTATCATTCTTTTTAATGCATTGATGTCAATGTTAACTTGGTAAAGGTGGGGGTTATTTAAATAACTTGCTATACTGCTGGGTACCTTAAAAACACATTATGATTTATTGGTTGATTTATATTCTGTATTATAAATCCATACCTGCAAAGTAGCGAGTTACTTAATGTAATGAAGTGAACGTTTGAAGTAGCATATGTGAAAATACACAAAATGGTACTTTGTTACTTTACACTATTGCTGACAGATAAGCTCCCATAGTTTGAACTCAGTTTGAGTTCATCCGCAGACTGAGCTGAGACTGACGCCTTTACTTGCGCCAAAACAACAGAGAGAGACGTGAACGCATCATTAAACAGTCGATCATGTAACGTTAGTATAAACCGTATATAACATTTATACAATTCTGCAACCAAAATCAAAGTTAACTGACATATGTAGGCCTGACAAATCAGCTGCTTGTTTGATCTTTGACTGATCTGGTTTTATTACATTTTAAATCCTTATAAAACACAGAAAACGTTGCTTTTCACTATCTAGTTGAGGAGAGTTTATATAGTGACCTTGGCTAAACGTCAGCTAACATTATGGAACAGGAATGTGACGTCATCAAACAATAACCGTTACTGTTTTGCTCGCCCGGTTAACGTAGTAAACGATGATAGAAAATAAATGGGCCAATACTCACCTAAAATCAACTGTAACGTTACTCCCAGCCACCATGACTGAACAGCACCGATCTGAGTCATGCTTCTCTCTTCGGTAACACTCCAGTTGCTTCTCAGGGACACAAACAACAAGACGCGGCTAACTGGCTAGCTTAGCAAGATGTTGTACTAGCTAAGCTAACGTTAGCGTAACAACAACAGCAAAGGGTGAAATAATACTCAAGCGCACTGGATTTACTAAGATGATAAAGCTCTGGTTCTGGTAACAAAAACACTGACGTTTCTGGCACCACGTTTAAACTTTGTATGGTGTATATTTGCTAGCTGAGAGGTTAATTTAGCTCGCCTTTTAACACTTTATCACCGCAGCTTCAGCCCAAACTGACATCAGTGTCATGTGACGGGCTTTAAAAAACCCAGAAAGTCACGTGATGCACAGCAGCCACATGTTAAGAGTTAAAGGATTAGTCACGCCTTTTAAAGTCTCAGACGACAATGTCATGCATTATGAGTGGTGGAAAGTGTATTTGCTGAGCGGAAGTGCGTTTTCGAGGTACTATTCTGTATTTTGTAAAAATGTTTGTTGGTTAAATATGTCACTTTTTATTGTTTTAATTCATGCCCCTTATATTTTACTATTCCCTTTTTTATCTTTGTGTAGTGATCAATAAAACATATATTTTTATATAACCATTTATGTAAATCCCACATATTTGTTTTATTTAACCTTATTTATGTATTTTGTACTATGCTGTATTATATTAAATGTATGCTTTACACATTTTGTTCTACTAAATGCATTTTTGGAGGATACCTGTTACAAAAATTGATGGACAGTTGCATTTACTAAAGTAGATGCTGTATTTAAGTACCATTTTAAGTTACCTTATGCCACTACACTCACTGAACTAAAACAAATAAGAGACTAATATTGTTATTTGAATCACATTAATTTGTTTTGTATTTTCACCCTACTTTGCAGATAACGGCTACATAAAAACTGCAAGGTTTGTCCGATAAATATAAATGTGATTGCAATCATCATTGTTTATCTAGCTGTTGTGAGCGGGTCAGTTTTGTTTTGTATTGTTAACTTCACTGTGTCCCTCAATCAAACCCACTAGATTTATCTATCTGGCCAACTCACAGGCTCCAGAAGCTTGAATGTGGGCGTCTAATTAAAGGCCCCGGAGGTCAGATCCCAGTCTAAAGTCCCTGGACATTTCACACACCAGTGTCAAAATAAAGTCTCCTCTCTGTGCAACCTGACCCGACCTCACTTGTCTGCCTGATAGCTCAATAATTTCCTAACAGATCAGTGTGATTATGCCAGTTGAGACAGACGCGACCCTTTGAAAGAGGCAGAGGCAGAGGCAACCTCTTCCTTTACACAGACACACACTAACATTTAAGTACCATATGGGGTCAACTTATCCGTGGACCCTTTGAACACACTGTCCCTTAAACAGACTGTAGCCGGCTCCAATCAATCTTTCTGCAGTTTGCCAATGTTATTGTGTTAACCAACAGCCACATGTTTTACTTTATGATCTGTACAATCTGATTTCTACTCTCTGCTTGATAAGGTGTGGTTTACAGGCCAGTGACAAATGCTGAACTTTTAGAAGTTGCTCATCCCTTGAAGTACCTTAGAGAACTGTAGCAATATGTCTCTTAAGGTCCAGAGGATAAAGGAACCCAATTCACCTAAAGTCAAAATACATATTCTTTTGCATAACATTGTTTTCTATTTTATAAACTAGTACAGCTTTAATTTCACAATGTATAATACTAACCATTTAGTGTAGAAAAGTGCACCCAGCTGCCTTACCGTCAAAATGGCAGCAAAGATTTTTAAAAAAACAGAGGGCTTAATTTTCTTTTATCGTGTTTTACATCATGTGGGATTAATCTGTAGATGCTCTGGTTCAAAATGAGACCAAACTTTTCTATGGATATTCGGTTTTTTGGCAAACTAAATGCCAAAATGTGGCCTGCAACAGACTAGGTGCATGTGGCTATTTGTTGGCATAGTCGATTCCTGGAAATGCACTTTGCTACTGATGAAAATGTTGCTTAAATATTAAGGATATCAAATCATTACAAAAATGGTTTAATAAAAAATCACAAACATCTGATTGAGCATACAGCCCTTTTCTGAATGATTTAAACTCAAATACATGCCAAATCTTTAACATTGCAACTTTAAACAGGGAAATAGCAGGGTTTATTCAAGTAAAGGAGAATTGATTGTACATATAATCCAAGATGAATAAAGAGAAAGAGGAACTCATTAGTGAAGCTGGAGGGACACATTTAGAGAAGGAAACAGTGAACGTGACTGTCTGTCAGTGTGACTTGAAAGTGGGTGTTGGAGGTTGTTCTTTGAAGTTCACACAGCAAACGACTCAGTCCATTGGCAGGTAGTCAGTTCAGCCACTTCCTCTCAACACGAAAACATTAAGAGTGAGGCAATCCGACACAACCAGGACAGAAAGACACAAAGACAAGCTTCAGTTTGTGCAGAAAGAGTCATGGACGCCCTGAGGTCAGGTGTATTTCTGCTGTTTGGTCTGCTGCCTGTCTGCTCTGCGGGTAAGTTCCTCAAATACAAAACTTTTTACATGTGAGTTGGGGTCAAACGTTTGTATATGTGATAGAGGAAATAAAACACCCAGCTGGCATTTGAAAACAGCCAGTAAGTGTTAAGAGACTCATTTTAAACCAAACTTGTATGCATTTTGAATTATGTCCTGATATCTTCCGTAACACGGGCCTTCTCTGCTCGGATAGATGAAGACAGAGAGATACGAAAATATCTGATATATGTGTTGCAAAAGAGTCACAGATGATAGAAGATATTTTTCCACACAGCATCATCTTGTGGAAAAAAGTAGAGCCGTTTGAGGTTTTCTTACATGGTAAGATAATGAGAGAAACATTTTCCATTCAATGTTATGAGAACAGTTCCTGATATTGGAAACAAACAGATTGTGTATATAATCTTGCTGTTTATCAATGAGGCAAACTCATCTGATAATAAACATGTTTTTTCCTTTTGTTTTTAGAGGCTCTTTGCTGACATTATATTTCTCAGACGCTCATGAAACGCGTTTTAGAGATACATGTTAGTCTAGTGATATTTAAATATGTGTCTTTATATAATTCATCCCATAAAATTACGCAATATATGCCTATCTTTCCTGAACTTGAGAAGTTTCTGTGCATTTGGTGTTTCCCAGGCTCTCCCTTTCATGTTGTAGGAGGGTTGTGAAAAAATATTTTCTAAATGATCAAAAAACACTTTCAAGTCCTGTCATGTATTTCATTCAGATACATCGTGATGAAGGGATTAACAGGAAAGCATGAATAAATAATCTCCCATCAGAATATACTGAGTGGGAAAACAGCAAAGTTTAATTTAGTTTTCCACGGCATTAAAACTCCCTCTGAAGTAAAGCACACTTTACAATGTGTAGAAGGAAGCTGCCATAGAGATATTTATAGGTTTATTTGAACACTGCATATATGTGACCTTGTGACTTCCTGAAAGCCATGATTGCTTAATTTTTCAATTCGTACTCGCTGATGATTTTTTGCTAAACACAAAGAAATGCATCGTCCATGTTTACTATATTCACCAGGATATGTGTGAAACAAGCGCTATGAAGTGTTTAAGAACATGTGTGAAGTGATAGCTTCAAAAATGACCAAATGCAGCACATTTTTACATGAAATAACATCTTTAAATCCTGAAAGCAATCTCCTTCTTTTTTGCCTTCAATTACTGTATATTAACGATGTTAGCAGTAAGTGATTAAATATTCATAGCCAAGACTACATCATTATTTAATCGACTGGAAGTATTTTAGAAGTATTTTACACACACTACTCAAACTTCAACCTCACCCTATTTTCTTTACTTGAGGATTTCTAGTCGAATTTAAAATAAAATAAACAATGTTTGGTTTGGACTCCAATTGAGAAGTTAAAGGACTAGTTTGACAATTTCGAAAATACAATTACCTTCTTGATGAGCTGGATGAGCAGATTGATCCTAAAGTGACTGGCATCTGGTTGTAGCTTCTTATTGAATAAACAGAGATCAAGCTTGTATTCAATCTGCACATTTCCGTTAGAAGAGTGTGTACATGTATTTCCCAAATTGTCAAATGCCAACCAATGGTCAAACTCACAATACCTGTTTTCTGGTTACTACTATTACTGGTTTTAAAGTTACCAAACTAAATGAAACAACATGTCTATTTGTATAATGTGTGTGTTCAACCAAGCTTACCGGCTGTAAGATGTGTTATCATTTTTTTAACAAACAGATGTTAGAGGACGGTATCAATTAGAACAAATGTTTTAAACCACACATGCCATAATATTTCTACCCCTAAGGGAAGTTTTATGAATTTTATAACCAACATAATCATGTAATAATAAGACCTTTATTAATAAATTGCATATGTGAGATATCTTAGTATAATTAATGTGTGTGTTAATGAAGCATCTTCGCAATCCCCGCGCCTGTATAAAGAAATATCTCTCTTGTTACATTTTTTTAATTTGGGTTTGGCTTGTTTTTTTTATTCTATGTGTTCCTATCATTTTACAAATGTTTTTATATACAGTTTTATTTGATTACTTTTCTCAGGTTGGTAACAAAACGATCTCACAATAAATGCGTTAAAACATTATACAAGTATATTGTAAACGAAAGAAAACAAATGAAAACAAACTGCGAGGTGCAGACATTGACGGCAATTGTCGAAATTCTCAGAAATGCTTATCCCACCCACTCAGCAACAGTTATTACAAACTTTTCCTGTCTACAGCTAAAAAATAATCTAAAAGTAAGACATGTGACAACTTCAAGTAAATATAGATCAAGATTTGGTGATAGCTTCATTTAATCTCAACTACTGGCGTGGTGCTCTCACATTTTGGCTTCTGTTCCGACCGCAGAGCGAGATAATCGGGCCTCTAACAGCCGTCACTCTGACAGGAAGTGCTAATCTACCATACCACAGATATGTAGTGCATTACTTCCTGTTTCAGGGGTCTTACTCAATCATGAACTGCTTCACTATGGGGCTGTTTTCCATCCCATGTTGCTAAGTGGATATCTTGTATGCCATCTAACACACACACACACACACACACACACACACACACACACACACACACGTTAAGACCATGTGTCGTACTTTTCTGAAGTCAGAGGAGAAGTAAACACATCATTTTACTCATGTTTTTAAAGTAATTATATCATAATGATATATATTAAACAAATATATAAAGCATGTCCAGTGGCAGACCTTTGTAAATGTGGACTACCAAATAATGTAAGCTCAAATTTGTCACAACACCCAAATAGGGTTCTCCAATGCATTTATAACAAACAAATACACAAGAATACGTATTTACTGTTCACATAAAGTAATGCCTATAAATCATTTCAATTTCCCCTCTGGTTATAAAATGTCTTAAGTGGAGGAAAAAGAACACAAAAAATATGTGTTGAAATCCCTCAGAAATGTGTGTAAGTTGAATTATTCATGATGTTTTTCTCTTGTGTTTGTCCTGTAGAGACGTTCTTCACTCACCCTCACATCTGCTACTTCCTGGATGCGTTTCTGACCCTTTACTGCATCATTGCCACCGGGCTCTTCTTCAAGGAAAAGGTGAGATAAGTTATTAATACCAGCAAGATATTAATAATTTGTCGGAAAAACTACCTAATACATTTTATAGTAACTTATTATTCATTTAAAATTCTGCCAATACTTTATTTTCTTTATCATTTAATCTTTTATGTCTTTCTTGGATTTTTGTATTAATCTTGTATACACATTTTCTTTCATATGTTGTCTTGTCTACCCAACAGCCTGAAACACCACTTATAAGCATTTATAAGGGTTTCATAAGGACAAGCAACAATTTATCACAAGAAATAATTGCCATTTTTTGCTAAATAAACATTTGTAACTTGTGATGGGAGTTAATAGTGATTAATCAATTACTTGAAATAGTCATAAGGTTGCAGACTTCTTATTGGATGTTTTAATTTGATAAAATGCTGTTTTTTTTCTCTGTGTAGTTTGCCGCCTTAACTCTGGGTGATGAAGAGCCTGTAAGTCGCCATGTTTTCCTTTTATTTATTAATAATTGGTTGATATAAAGTATATTATATTGATGTGAGTATCAGTGTTTTTGTTTGATGACTATCTAACTTTCTTGTGTATTTCTCACCGACTAAGAAGGGAGATAAGGATTGCATTTACCAGGTAAGACGAGCTCTCACACTGGATGAACAGATGAGGTTTAAACTCACTGCTCAGCTTTAACACATTTATTTACACGTTTCTCCTGCAGGAGCTTGACAGAACAAAGGATACAGATCCTTACGATGTGCTCCAACCATCAAAAGGGAAAAAAGTAAGCAACAGCAGACTTTTGAAGGTCACTTTTCTGTCTCTGCTCGGTCCTAAACTGTCAATCGCTGTGTTGTATTTGATCTTTTCTAGAAAAAAGCTGCCAAGAAAAATAAATCTGAGGTAAGAAGCTTAACTCACTCACATGGTCTCTTCAGTCATAACATTTGTCAAACATAATAAACTCTCTAGGATGTAGTCAGAATAACAAGAAACATGCAAGGCAAATGGTTTCCTTTTACAAATGTTAAAAAATATTTACAAAATAAACTGGTCAAATAATTATAATAATAATAATAATATAATAATGATGATGAATACAGATGTTAAACTCTGTCTCTCTCCTCTACAGTCGACCCAAGGTGCGCCGGATAAAGATCCCTACGAGTCTCCGGTGGCCTCATCTCCCCTCGAATCCTAGATCTGAAACAACTATGATTAATCGATCAAAACGTACATCGACTATTTTGATGATCAATGATTGTTTAAGTGATAAATCGAGAAAGAAATGCAAAACAGTTATTTACATGAAGCTTCTCAAAAAGGATGATTTTGTTATTGTGTAGCATTTATACTTAGCCTACTATTTTCTGCTTGTAGCCTAGCCTGATAGCATGCTATCATTTATACGTGTTAAACATAAAGTATACTAGAAGCTATACTAGAAGCTGATAGGTATAATAAAAATCTAATCTAATATAACTTTAGACCTTATTGCTAGATTATTTAGGGTGTTAGCATGCTAACAAAAATGAATGCTTATCACGTATAGCAGAAGCGGTTAGGAATTCCAAGAAGTCTTTTATTTAACCTTATTTGCATAGTACTTTAGCATGCTAACATAATGCTAAACGCAATGTAGGCTAAAGCAGAGGCTGATAGGGATGTAAACAAGCCCTTTATGTAATTGAAGACATCACAGTGGCAGGTGTTTTTAGCGTGTTAGCATGATACAATTAATTAGTGCTACACAAAGTATAGCAGAAGCTGATAGGGTCATACATTCTGTCGCTTGTTTAACTTTAGAAGTTATTGGGCACAAAATGAAAAAAAGCCTGCATGGCTTAGAATTGGTGCTTCTGAATATCAAGTTGTAACTAAATGCCAATAAAAGACAAAGCACATCAAAACACTTGAAAATGGTTTAATGATGTTTACAACAAAAGAGAACTGTACATTTACAGTAAAAGATTATTTTTATATGTGTATAAAAACAAAACAAACAAAAATACAGCAGATAAATGCATCAAAATCTACTATGTATCCTGATTCACATACTTAAAACTCCTACACAACCTTTCAGTTCTACGCCGTACTTTACGGCAGTATTTTTAGTTGTTTTTTTTCCTTGTAGTCAAATCAGAGCAGTCTCTCACAGAGTTTTTGTCCAAGATGGAAATCAGGACTCCTTAAATTAGAGTCCTGAAACGACAAGTATTATCAGACGGCAGAGTAAGAAACAGGGAAATAAATCAGGGACACATTCCTTTAGATGAGCCCAAGCTTTCCAACGCGACTAGTAAATGTTTTACACAATGCAGTTGAGATACACAAACATATTATGTACATGGTTGGCATATTTTTTTTTTTTTGGTTTTCTCATTTTTCCTATCTTGTTGAAAGCCATGGTCACACTCACATAACACACCCAAAAAAACATACAAAAATACTATATCTTTAACCTACCAAGAGTAAGACAGTTCTGCAATTAGTTCCATGCTGTGACAGAAAAAAAAGAGATTACGACAAACAAACGAGAAACTTTTCACGCAAGATTTTCTCAGAAATATACCAAAATATACATCTAAGCTTTGGAATCACTGAGGCTAGGACTAAAGCCAGTGCTGGGTTTGTCTCTTAATACACATGCTGCAGGGTGGAAGGGAGAGAAGGACAGAGAAAGACACAGGACAGAGAGATATCTTTGGTATCTGCATTTGTCAAAAGTTACATATTTGGATTTTTGCTTTGGGATAGCGCTTGTGAGGTCCTTCAAACCTCACTCGGAGTAAAGCCTTAAACAAAGTGTCACTGGGACACAGTCCATGCAGAGTGACAGGACCATGATGCATAGTGTCACAGCGGATCAGAGTCTGTAGTGAAGAGACGATGGCAAAGGAGGGAGCGGAAGAGGAGGGAGGAGGGGACACAGCAGTGAGTTTAGGATGTGGATTCCTGGAGACAACAGGGTAAAATGTCCTGGGACTATACAGTGTGATGAGGAAGAGACAGAGGCAGGAAGAGCAGTTTCACCGCAGTCCTTGAGAGAGAGAGAGAGAGAGAGAGAGAGAGAGAGTGGACAGGGAAACATAACAACAAACATACAGTCCTGAGCATGTACAGTGTGCACAGGATTAACCCTCAGTCAGTGTGTATTAACAAACATCACCCAGTTACCACCAGATTGTGTCTGTGGGAGAAGCCCGTTCGGCCCCCTTTTCGACCCCCCCCGTCCCACCTCCGATCCCCGCCCGCAGGCACTGAAACCGCAGAGTGTTTTTTCGGGGCGGGTACACATTCGCATGCAGTAAAAAAGCCAATGAATCGAGGACTCGGGTGAGAGCGTGCAGCCGGGATTTGATCTGAGCAGTGAGGCGGGGATGGGCCGAGGGACGGGCGTCGTTTCGTTTACAATCAAGTTAGAAGTCTTTGGTTATTGTTGGTACCACAGGAGAGCGGGTCATGTGGGGAGACACGTACATACCTGCACTTAGTCAGAGAGAAAAAAAAAAATTAAATAGAAAACAGGATTGTCAAACTTAAAGTGTTCCAATGTGGAGGGGGTCGTCTATTCAAAGTAACTTTTCAAAGGAATATAATACGCTAAAATAAATCTCAAGTTACAACAAGCCAATTCCATAACAGGCTGAAAAATACATCAGTGTGCGGCATCAAAAACACCAAATTGTGAAAAAGAAAAAACAGCAGACATTCATGAGTACAGGTATGTATTTGTGTCTCCCCCTTGTGGTGTTACTTTCCACAGCCCTTCAAGTACAGTGTAAACGGGCTTCTCCACTGACACAGTTTCTGTATTTTCTTCTTTTTTTGTGATTTTTTATAATATTTTATATTTCTTAAGTAGATTAAAGCAGGTTTCACTCAGTCTTGAGTTAGAAATGAGGTATACAACAGCTCGTTTTGCCTTAACTGGTGCTCCACACTTCCTTTGTCAACGTTAAAAACCAGCAAACCAGTGTGGTGGGTTCAACAAACTACAACTTGATGCACGGCTGATCCACAAGAGCAACTTGAAAATCTTGAGATCACGTTATGAGACCACAGCATCAAAGCAGAGCCAGTGGCAAGAAGAAACTTTAGTTAACAGTAGATAAGATCATTAATAGATAAAACACTCACACAATGACCCCAAACTGTAGTTTCTTTTCTGTAACTGGCTCGCTTTTAGGCTTTAGATATCGGTAAAGACCCCAGTATGGACCAACAAAAAAAGTACTCTTATGTCTCACCCTCAAAAATCCACTGGAAGATGGATCAAATGCACCAAAATGGTTTGTAGACTGTACTCGCTATTCTCTCTTTAAAAAGACACACACACACACACACACACACACACACACACACACACACACACACACACACACACACACACACACACACACACACACACACACACACACACACACACACACTCTCTCTCTCACACACA